GACACCATGCATAGCTTCATGCCCACCACGCATCTACCAGTTAGTCATACTGTGGTGGCCTGTGTGTTGCTGTGATTCTGAGGGCTATGCCACAGGAATTTTCAATACCAGCAGGGTCGCCCATGGTGGACAGGTTTCAGATGAGCTTCAAGATGAAGACAGACTAGCAAGAAGGAGCGACAGATTACATTAAAAAAAAAAAAAAAAGCTTTCTTTTTTGTTTTTTTCATGTTTTATTGTGAATCATGTGATCGTTTACATGGGAGAACATTAGCTTTACATTCACTGCCATGGTTACAATCCCCTCCATGCATCAAAAGGGTATACCCTGCCAGGCTGCCCCTAGGTCATCAGCACACAGCCCCTCTCCCTCTCTGGGTCTAAAGTTCCCAGCCACTCTATTTCTCCATATCATCATCTCTGCCTCCATCTCGGGCATCACTGTTTCTCTGGGTAGGTTTCCACACTCCGCTCTTCTCCCTTGATGTATGTAGGACTGCAAAGTCAACCCCTCCTCTACTTTTGCTACAAAACGTCTAACTTTACATTTCCAACCCTCACAGTCAGTCCTGATAGCCATTATTCACTATTGTACCACAAGAGTCCTATCCCCATCTCCCTTCATCAGCCCCGCCCAGACAGACGGATTCTACTCAGTGGAGATTCTACCTTCCTCTGCGCCCTCTGGATCTAGGCTCCCTCTCAAGAGCTTTCTTGAAGTACAACGCTATCTATGATAGGATAATATCCATACACCTACAAGGAAGAATGGAGTCCTGGTGTGGCACTGTGGGTTAATGCGCCAGACTGCAAAGCCATTTGAACTGCAAGGTTGCAGTTCAAACTCACCAGCTGCTCCTTGGAAATCCTATACAGGGTCGCTATGGGTCAGAACTGACTCGACGGCACTTCACAACAACAACAAGGAAGAACAGTTAATACCACTATTATTCAAATTTATGCACTAAAGCCAATAATGATGAAATTGAAGAATTCTACAAGGAGCTCTGGTAGCATGTCAGGTGCCATCGAGTCGGGACCGACTCAAAGCGACCCCATGCACAGCAGAACGAAACAACGTCTGATCCTGGGCCAACCTCACTACTGCTGCCACACTTGAGTCCATCAATGCTGCCACCTGGCTGATCCATCTTGTTAGGGGTCTTCCTCTTTTTCTCTGACCCTCCTTCTTACCCAGCATGACATCCTTCTCCAGCGACTGTTTCCTCCAGACAATATGTCCAAAGTATGAGAGACGAAGCTTAGCCATCCTGGCCTCCAAGGAGCACTCTGGCTGCACTTCTTCCAAAACAGATCTATTGGTTCTTTTGGCAATCCATGGCACTTTCAGTATTCTCCTCCAACACCACAACTCAAAGGCATCAATTCTTCTACGATCTTCCTTATTCACTGTCCAGTAACATAGTGGTTCTTATTCACTGGTAGCATAGAAGTTACTAATCGGGCTGTGAACCAGAAGGTCAGCAGTTTGAAACTACCAGCTGTTCCGCGGGGAAAGATGAGGCTTTCTGCTCCCGTAAAGATTTACAGCCTCAGAAACCCTGTACAGGGTCGCTATAAGTCTGAACTGACTCCACAGCACATAACAACAACAACAACAACTTCATCAGTCTGAAATAGATCAAACATGCAATCAAGATGTATTGATAATTACTGGCGATTGGAATGCAAAGGTTGGAAACAAAGAGGAAGGATCAATGGTTGGAAAATAGCCTTGGTGATAGAAATGATGCAGGAGATCTAATTTTGCTAGACCAATTGTTTGTTCATTGGACTCCTGGTGTGATTATGACTAGTTCAATCCAAATACCTTTTTTAAACAACAACAAAAGGCAATAATGAAGGCAGCATGAACCTCACCAGATGGAATACACAGAATTCAAATTGACTCCATCTGTGGAGCTAGATGGTGGAAAAGCTCTATCTTATCAGCCAAAACAAGGCCAGGGGCAGACTGTGGAACAGACCATCAATTGCTCATCTGCAAATTCAGGCTGACACTGAAGAAAATGAAAACAAGTCCACGAGAGCCAAATATGACCTTGAATATATCCCACCTGAATCTGGAGATCATCTCAAGAACAGATTTGATGCATTAGACACTAAAGGCTGAAGGCCAGAAGAGTTGTGGGATGACATCAAGAACATCATACAGGAAACAAGTTCATTAGGAAGACAAGAAAGAAGGATAAGACCAAATTGGATGTCAGAAGAGACTCTGAAACTTGCTTTTCAGCATAGAGAGGCTAAAGCAAATAGAAGAAGTGAGGAGGTCCAAGAGCTGAACAGAAAATTTCAAAGGGCTACTTGAAAAGACAAAGTACTATAATGAAATGTGCAAAGACCTGGAATTGGAAAACCAAACAGCATTTCTCAAGCTGAGGGAACTGAAGAAAAAAATTCAAGCCTTGACTCACAATATTGAAGGACTCGATGGCACCTAAAAACAACAAGGGGCAGGAACAGATTTATTGGAGTCCTGGTGGGCTTTAAGGTTTACTAGCCGGACAAGAGCAGTGTTCTGTTTAAAGCTAATTGTTTCCCCTTCTGAGCCACAGTCCTTCTGTGTACTGTACCCACTGTCCCATGAACCAGCTGAGTCATCATAAAGCATTCCAGTCTGTTTGTGGTCCTGGTGGAGGACAGGCTACTGGTTCCTCTGGTCCTTCTGGGCAGTTATTTCCCAAGTGTTAGGAGTTTCTTCACATACCTGTGCTGATCAGTGCTGTTGTTGTTGTTAAGTGCCATTGAGTTGGTTCCAACCCATAGTGACCCTGTATAGGGTTTCTGAGAATCAGTTGGTGAGCTTGAACTGCCGACCTTGTGGCTCAAACTGACTTTGCAGTCCAGCGCATTAATCAACAGCACCACACCAGGACTCTGTCGTTAGGGGTGGCTGTTGTTGTTATGTGCCGTGGAGTCGGTTCTGACTCATAGCGACCCTGTAAAGGGTTTCCGAGGCTGTAAATCTTTATGGGAGCAGAAAGCCTCATCTTTCTCCTATGGATCAGCTGGTAGTTTTGAAGTGCTGACCGTGAAATTAGCAGCCTGATTTGTAATCACTATGCTACCCATCGTTGTTTTTCTGTTGTTAGTGTTAGGTGCCACCGAGTAGATACCGACTCATAGTGACCTTATGCACAGCAGAACAAAACACTGCCCAGTCCTGGGCCAACCTCACTATTGTCGCCACGCTTGAGTCCATCGATGCTGCCACTTGGCCAATCCATCTCGTTGAGGGTCTTCCTCTGTTTCTCTGACCCTCCACCTTACCAAACATGATATCCTTCTCCAGTGACTGGTCCCTCCTGACAATATGTCTGAAGTATGAGAGACGAAGTTTGGCCATCTGGACCTCCAAGGAGCACTCTGGCTGTACTTCTTCTAAAACAGATCTATTGGTTCCTTAGGCAGTCCATGGCACTTTCAATATTCTCCTCCAACACCACAACTCAAAAGCATCAATTCTTCTACGATCTTCCTTATTCACCGTCCAGATTTCACATGCATATGAAGTTATTGAAAATACCATAGCTTGGGTCAGGCGCGCCTTAGTCCTCAAGCTGACATCTCTGCTCTTCAACACTTTATAAAGTTCTTGTGCAGCAGATTAGCCTAATGCAATACATCATTTGATTTCTTGACTGCTGCTTCCATGAATGAGTGTTGATAGTTGGGTCAGGTGCTGTCAAATCAGGTCTGACTCATAGCCACCCTGTGTACAAGAGAGCAAACGGCTGACAGGTCCTGCCAAAGTCACCATCCTTCCTATGTCTGAATCCACTGTTGCAACCACTGTGCTAATTCATCTCATTGAGGGGCTTCCTCTCTTCTGTTGACCTTTTACTTTACCAAGTATAATGTCCGTCTTCAGAGGCTGATACGAAGTCTCGCCGTGGTCACTTCCAAGGAGTGTTTTAGCTGTCCTTTCTCCAAGACACACGTGTTTGTTCCTCTGGCAGTCGACAATATATTCAGTATTCCGCTCTGCTGAATATTTGAGGGGTGCCCACTGGAGACCCCGAGTCCCTTCTCTGTCTTGCTCTCTCCTCTCTAGTGCTCTGTCCTGGCCTCATGTCAAATCAAGGTATCTCATGGGTGTCAAATGTCCATTTGAGGACTAAGGTGCACCTGACCCAAGCCATGGTATTATCAGTCACCTCATATGCATGTGAAAGTTGGACAATGAATAAGGAAGACAGTAAAAGAATTGATGCATTTGAATTATGATATTGGCAAAGAATATTGGAAGTACCATAGCCTGTCAGAAAACCAAACAAACCCGTTTTGGAAGAAGTATAGCCAGAATGATCCGTAGAAGAAAAGATGGTGGAAATTCGCCTCTCGTACTTTGGACATATTATCAGAAGGAACTGGACATCACGTTTGGAAAAGTGGAGGGTCACCAAAAAAGAGGAAGACCCCCACAAGATGGACTGACACAGTGGCAGCACAATGGCCTTAAACATAAAAACTTTGAGGATGGCGCCGGGACTGGCAGTGTGTCGTTCTGCTTTGCACAGGGTCGCTGGGAGTCCGAAACAACTCAGTGTTTGGTGTGGACACAGCCCCCTGCACCCTGAAGCAGGCTGTTGAGCACAGTTCTACCTTTGTGAATGCAGTGCTCGCTGTGGACAGGCCCAAGGACTGCACTGACCTCAGAGCCCACATCCAAGGTCATGTCTAAGACGCTGCCAACAGGGCGTTTTCTGTAGCTCAACTTGAAATACAAGCGATGGAGCGTCCACCATTCAGATCCAGAATTAGAGCATCCTGCTTCCTGCTTTGGCCCCGTGTCTGGTGACCAACAAGCAGGACTTTAGTGTGGGGCTGGGGAGACAGTGAGGAGCACAAGCCCCCTGCCCAGTCCATGTAGCACCCATATCTCTCCCCGCATCTTCTCGGGCACCACTGTGACAACCCCTTCCCTCTCCCCAGAGAACATTTTCAATCACTTCTGCCGTGTCCCCCCGATGTCCATGTCGCGGTCCATCCTGGAGTCCCTGGAGATGTCCACAGGCATGAAGTGTGACTCTCACGAAGGGTGTTCCCTGCACCTGCGTGTGCGTGCCTCCTTCATGCTGCAAGGTGAGATGGTTCCTCACAGTAACACCCAGGACACAAAGCCTTGGGGTAGGAGCCGCAGGACGGGTGTTGCCAACCTCACAAAGGTTGCATAGTCATCGTGGGGGTGCCCAGCCTGACTCTGGCCCTGCCACCCTCCCTTCACCCCAGAGGACCTGAGGGGCCTGGAGGTGTGTACCATGAATCCAGACACCCAAGAGGTGCAATGTCAGGGAATGCGGGTGTCCCCGGCCTCCCGCCGACTTCACGTGGGGCAGCAGGTGAGGATGTCTAGGGCCCCCTGGCCCTGCCAGTCCATCTCCCAAGCCTTTGCCTACAGCAGATGCTGTACCGTGTCCTGGTCCTGGCTGCCCCATCCCCGTGCCACCCCACCTCCAGGCTGCATGAGACACTGCCCATCTTGGGGGTCCAGCCATCTGAGGCCAGGCTCAGGGAAGATGAGCAGCTGGTCAGGTGTGCCCGAACAACACCTATCGCTGACCCAGCTCCAGGTGCACTTCGACTGTTTCAAAGTGAGCGTGGCCCAGAGACTCTACCTCACCCTGAGGACTGTCCCACACTTCTGTGGTGTTCAGCTGGACCGTCAGTACCACGTGGAAGGTGTGAGCCCATGAGCCCAGGCGGGCACAGCTGCCATCTACCTGTTCAGACAGGCAGGATCAGCCAGGGAGGGACAGGGAAAGGACCAGGGAGGGACCTGGGCAGGTCCACAAGCTGGACAGCTCTCAGCTGCCCATTTGGCCTTATTCGGGTCCTGACTCCCTAGAAAAGGGAATTTCCAGAGGTGGAGAGGGCAGAGGTCCAACTGGGGGTCGAGGGGCCTGCCCACCAGCCTCTGGCATTTGCAGACTGCACAGATGAAGATGTGGGGAGGAATTTGCCTGACTGCATGGGTGAGTCTCTACAAGTCCCCTGTCCCTGGAAGATCCCTCCGCCTGGGCTCTCAGGTAGATGAAACCCAATGTCTGAGACAGAGGCCACCACCTCCAGGCTCTTTGGGCAGATGGAGCCCTGTATCCTTGAGCCCTGTATCCATGATCCAGTGACCAGGACTGTCAGCTCTGACCCCACTATGGCCTCACTTACCACCCCTGTAGCCGGCAAGCTCACCTTTCAGGTGAACCGCAGCCGCAAGGCCATCCTGGTGCAGGTGCCGGACATCCCCAGGAGCCCCGACTACTATGTTCGGCTATGCCTCAGACGCCTCATCTGTGAAGACATGGGTCCCCCAGTTCGGGTGAGTTCCCCATCCACATACCCACTCCTGCGCCCCACCCACCACCCAGCCCCAGACCCCTCAACCCCTTCCCTTGCTGCAGGTGACTGCCAATGGGTCCCGGACGGTCTCTCTGCCCTACAGTCAAGAGTTGCCCTGTCTGTGCCTGGAAGTCAGTGCGAGTGGCCCTGAATGGGAGGGGGCATGAGGGACAGGCTGGGGTCAGCGCAGTGGCTTAGCCTGGGCTGACCCATGCTCTCTTTGCAGGGCTGGTCTTCAACCCCTGATGCAGTGCGGATCCAGACCTGTCCCTTCAAAGATGGTAAGTGCCCAGTCGTCGTCCAGGCTCTCTGTCCGGACCCACTCTTAGTCCCTGGCAGCCTGGTGGGGGAGGGAGGTTCAGGAGGGTCTGAGCAAGGACAGAGGAAGGTGGAGGAGAGTGCAAGGGTAGGAAGCAGGCCTGTCCCAGTTGTGAAGACCGAAATGGGAGGGGGTGTTGAGGTGTGGGGGGCCTAACCCCCTGAGTCTCTCTTGGTAGCCAAGGGCGTGACCTGTGCAAGCCCCTCCAGGTGGCAGAACCTGCACGTGGCTATGCCCCGCACGTGGCTGTGGTCACATTCACGTGGACTCAGGCCAAGGCTCCGGGACCCACATCCCATCCCGAGACCCTGGCCTCGACGTCACCGAGTCCAGTGGTTGTGGTGGGGATAGCCGTCCCAGCCATTGGCGCTGACGGGTTCGGACAGACCCTGTAGACACGGAGGCGTTGTGGGACGCGGTTTACTACCACCCAGAGAGCCAGGCGCTGAGCTGGGAGCCCACCTGCCCAGTGAGCGGCCGCGTGAGTCTGTGCTGGCGCGCGGGGCCCAGGACCCCCTGCAATGACCTGGAGGGCTCTGAACGGCCAGTCCAAGGCAAGGTGAGTCCTGCGGGGGGCGGGGCCTGGGCCAGTCCTGCGGGGGGCGGGGCCTGGGCCAGTCCTGCGGGGGGCGGGGCCTGGGCGGGGCCTGGGGGGTGGCCGTCTCTGACCTGAGCGTCCCATAGGTACGGTACCCGCTAGTGGACACTCAGCCCCAGCTCTGTCTTAAGGTGAGCGGGCTCAGCAGCCGGCCCTGGGTTGCCCGTACGGGGTGGACAGGGTGGAGGGGGAGACCTGCGGGTAATAAGGAAGCCTGCAGCTGCCCCCCACACACACGACTTGTCCAGACCCTGGACCCAGCGACCGTGCCCACCATCGTGCTCCTCAGACCTTATCCTGGTCTAGCAGAGGCGGAGCTGAGGGCCTTGTGGCGGGAGGGCCAGCCCCAGCGCTCTGCCCCCACCATGCGGGAGCGGGGCCTGGCCCTGGGGGGCTGACTCCCACACGCACACCAGGGAGCCCCTCCCTCCGCAGTTCTCCGCACACGGGGGAGTTGGGGTGCGGTGCCCGTTTGCACAGCGGCGCTTCCCAGGTGAGTTCTAAATGAGGCCGCGGGAGGGGACTGCCGTGAAGGCTCCTCAGCGGGGGTAAAGGGGGTGAGGAGTGGAGGCCGTGTCAGGGTGCTGGCCTAGTGGGTTGATCGAGGTGCTCTCCTAGTTGGGGTGAACTGGGAGAATCGGGATGCGGTACTAGCCTGCTCCCCCTTGGGGTCCTCACCCTATACCCCCAGCCTGGAAGATGACAGTTCAGCAAGCCCCTTCGCGGGACCTCCTCCGGGCCACCTTCTTCTCCTCCTACCCAGCCCGCTTCCAGGTGCGCCTGTGTCGGCCAAGGACGGCCGTGCTCCCGGATTGCAGCCGGCCGCTGGAGGTCACGCCCCTCCCTGCAGCCTCGGTGAGTCGGGTGAGCGCAAACCGCGCTGGGGGTGCTGGGAGCCCCACCCCGTGCCCACACGCCTCCCCGCACCTATCCTGCCACTAGGGCGCTGCGAGCGCCACCAAGTGGGCGCTATAGTTGCGCGCAACATGTGCGCACCTGGGTTAAAGACGCAGCGCAGCCTGCTCTGACTGACCCGTCCCCGACCCCGACCCCGACCCCGACCCCGACCAGGGCGACCCCTCCTTGGAGCACGCTGCCGCCTTCGTGGACATTCCCCGGGACGAAGCCTGTGCCCCCGGCATCTGCATCCAGGTGGGTCGTCCCCTTCCTCTCGTAGACCTCGGTTTCCTCATCAGCCGCCAGGGGAAAACTCCCTCCCTAAAGCTATATGGGTGCTCGGCAGCCTCACCCGGCAGCCCCGGGGCTGGGCTGCGTTCCGAGAGCGCTGGCTAGTTGAACAACCGCTTGGCGCCTACAGGGGTGGAGGACCGACGTGCACTTCTCCGTCCCGCAGCAACAGTGCGACGTCCAGTGTGGTGAGTCCATCCAGTCGGTCTGCACTCACCGTGGCTGTGGAGGGCGTGGCCTGCCTGGCGCCGGAGCCTGGGGGTGGAGTCTGGGGGGTGGGGGTGGGTGGGGCTGCCTGTTGACCTTACCCAGGGCGCCTTAGCCTCCCTCCCCCCCACCACTCTGAATCCCTCTGAAGGGCTGTCCTCCTGGTGTGTCCACTTCCCGTGACCCTGATTCCAACTGTCCAGTGATTCAAGAGGTCCCACGGCCTCTCCTTGCCCAACAGATTCTCAGAGTCCCACTTGCCCTGGGAGAGGACCCTGTCCTGAGGATAGGGCTAGCCATGTGGATGGTGGGTACTGACCAGGACTGTGACCTCTGGCTCAGGACCATCCGGAGATGAGGACAGGCAGAGGCGAGTGTGGAAGCAGCCAGCTGATGTGCATAGTCAAAGAGCTGCAGGCTAGAAAGCTGGAATGAGAGGTGTGGTCAGGTGACCTACGACCCTTGCAGGGTGAGTCCTAGCATTTCCAGGCACCTGCAGATGTGCACCCCCAGTCTCCTCACACAGAGGAACTTCCTGGCCACTCCTGGGGTCCTCTCCAAGGCAAGGGTCTTCTCCAGCAGATGGCAGGCCACAGAGGCCTGGTGTTTGGATGATGACCCTGGGGATTGTCTGTCTCTAGCTGTCACCCACAAGACTGCGACCTGAATCCCTCTGTCTCATCAGTAACAAGTAGGTACCTGGCCTAAGACTTGGGTCTGGACAAGTGGCCTCCTGCCTGGCACCTGTCCAGAATATTCCTTTGCACAGCTGAAGAATTAGTCCTGTGGGGGAGTGACCGAAGACCACCTCCAGCTTATACCCCAAGCACCTCACACTGAACCAGGGTCCACCCATCAAGGACTGGCCACTTTCCATGCCTCAGTGGCCACCTGCTGGATGTGACATGCATTTTGGACTCATGGAGACCCTGTGTGCTACCCATCTCTGCAGCGTCATAGTGTCCCTGGTGAAAGGTCCCAGCGGAGGGCTGGTGACTCACATCTGTCCCCTGCGCTGCCCCGGTGTCCACTGACTACACAGTCAGGGACTCCCGCATGCAGCAGCCCACAGTTCTTCCCATTGCTCCCCTGCAACATCACTGTCCACTCCTGCTTGGCCACTTTCAGGCCCTCACCCTGGCTATCCCCTCTACCCGGCCATGGTCACCTTGAGGTTCCTGTCTCCTCTGCCCGCAGCTCTGGGAACTGTTGTCCCTGGTGACCCTATGCCCCAGGACTACAAGAGAAGTTGCCATGTGAACCTCACTCAGTAAATAGCTGTGTACCATCTGAGCACCGCTTGTCTCTTCCCTTTGGACAGAGATGGGGTCAGCTGGAGAGGTGGTCCCTGGGGTGAGACAAGGAGGAAGATGACAGGTCAAATGGGCACAGAAACCTCCAAGGCCCAAAGAAGCAATCCTGAAGGCCCCTCCACAATGGTGGTCTGCCAGAGGAAGGCTGGACAGGGGACCTTTGAGGGAAGGAGATGGGACACAAATGAGGAAGGAGCCTGCCCTGCCCAGCTGGAACTCAGAACTTCTCGGAACACTAGCATCAACACCCCCGACTGCCTCGCTTCGTGTGTGTTTGTGGGGTCCACCCCCAGTGACCCCTCCTCTCAGGATCCCTCAGAAACTCAGGTGACCTCTTGGGACTCAGTGGAAGTCCTGTGTGAGGGTCCAGTGCCCAGGCTGCATGCCTGCCCCTCAGTCATCCCCACCCAGTGATGGACCCCAAGTCAGGTTGGGAGAGGCAGGGGTCAGGTCTACCCTAGCTTGTACAGGGAAGTCACAGGGGCAGACTTGGGGACTGCTGGGGTCAGGGGGTACCACCAGTGATGGATAGCGTGTTACTCTGTAGAGGCCCAGGTCAGGCTGGGATGTTGAGGGTGGGTTTGGGGTGCCCAGGTCAAACAAGGAAGAGGCACCCCCAGACTCCAGGTGCCACCACCACCACCCGAGGGAAGGGCGCAGGGTGGGATCTCGGCCCTCATCACCTTCCTCACCCCAGGAGTAGAGGGTTGGGGTGCTCTGGAGACCGCCGTCTGCCTCTCATGCGCCCTCCCCAACTGCCAAGGGATGGGCACTAGAGTCCCACCCAGGCTGAGCCACCCCTGGCCGGGCCCCAGTGTCAAGACGCGATAAGTACAGAAAGCTCAGTCCGGACCTTTCCCAGTGGAGGTAGGAAGGGGGGTGTCTCTGGGCTCAGCTCCCAGTTGACCCAGTACAGGCCACTGTCATGTCCTCACCTTAGCCGTGGCCAGCCCACAGATGGGGAAACTGGGGCCCACACCAAAACAATGACTCTGTTCCTCTCCAGGGCTAAGGATTTTGGGGAGTGGGGGATGCTAAGGTCCCATCTACGCCTTATGTGGAGGACTTCTGAATGCTGCCACCAGGTGGCAGACGTGTTCAGTGCCGGGTCCTGTACTGGGCACACAGTCCTCACCTCCAGGTTAGGGTCCTGGAGCAACACCAGTGGCCTGCAGCCCAGTGGGTCCACTGCCTTGGTCAGTGATAGGATGGGTCTACTGGAAACCCTGCGTGTCCTGGAGCAGAGTTCTGATGAATGTGGTCAGATCGCAGAAAGGGCAGTGGGAGGCAGGTCACCAACAGCTGGGGCAGACAGCCCTGCTTTACAGTTGAACACCGGAGAGCCTCTGATTGTCATCCATCTTATCCACCTGCCTGTCTATCCATCCACCCAACCGCCCACCCATCCACCCACCCACCCATCCACCCACCCACTCCTCTTGAGCACCTAGCATGGCCCAGATGGAAACACACCACACCGACTAGTCCAGCCCCCAGTCTGGCTTTCTCAGTCCCATCTCAGGCCACCCCACCTGGAGCTGATTACACAGAGGAGACAGAGGACCAGCATTGCGGGGTGTGGATGGAGAGCTCAGGGGAGCCTGGGGTGAGGGGCATTCCTCGGCCACTTGCACCTCAACAAACATTAGCATTATCTAGTGCCTCAGCATGACATCCTCCTTGACCACTGGCAGGTCACTGAGGCTGGGCCATGTGCACCCCCCACCCCCCTGGGGCAGCCCCACTAGAAAGAAGGGGCACAGAGGGTGGAGAGTCCAGCTGGTGTCTCCCCTCCCCTCCACAACCCTCACAGCCCCACCTCCACCACCGCTGCCCCTCCCTACCTCAACCACCACCACCACCCCCCGGTTCATTTCATGGTGGGGTTCCACCTAGTCCCTGCAGACAGACTGGGGAGGGTTGTGGGTTGTGTGTGTTGAGGGAAGGGGAAGCAGCTGCTGGGGTTGGGCTGTTGACCTCTCACCCACCACGGGGCCCTCTGAAGAGGGGACTGTCCTGGGAGACTAGACTCGGGTTAGCTTACAGGCCCTGGAGGGCAAAAGGAGGAGAGTAGCAGCTGTGGAGGGGGAGGGGCGCCCTGCTACACGTCCCCAGAACCCTGAAGGGGTGGAGCAAGGATGGAGTTAAGGGGCATAGAACCTCCACCGCTGGCAGAGGCTGAGGTGGGGCCGTTCCCACTCTGCCCTCTCTCTCATGGCAGGTTCATTCCTTATTGGGGGGAAAGGTCTTTGGGGACACAGCCCTGGTCTAGTTACCCCCAGGATCCCAGAATATGTGTCTCTCTCACACCTGCACGCCCTAGCCTTCACTGAGACTCCTCTTCCTTACCTCGGGAGGGACTTAGATGACACTTAGACGCTCCGCCCCATGGGAGCCAGGTAGTTGCTTAGGGCCAACCCCTTCTCCATCCTGGGGAGCCTGGGCCCACAAGGAGAACTGTATGGAGTAGGGCTCAGTTCAAACACTCACTACCTGTGTGACCAGAGCCAGCAGGTACCAACTCCAGGCAATGGGATCCCTGGACGGCAGGCTATGTAGGGGGGTACAAGGGGTGTGGGGGCCAGACCCCCACCAGTGACACTGTCAGAGCTGGTGATACCAAAATGATTCTAAACTCTTTGTGCTGTATCTTAGCAGAAATTTAAATTAAAATATCCCTGTAGTCAATTACAACAACACAAACATCTTCATAAACCCAGTTCACATGTATCGATATGCAAGGGTGAAACACTTGTGCTCATTTCGTTTTGAACATCTGATGCCACAGGGATTTCAAATACCAGCAGGGACCCCCATGGTGGACGGGTTTCAGTGGAGCTTCCAGTTTAAAGGAACTAGGAAGAAGGACAGGTGGTCTAGTTCCGCATGGTTAGCCACTGAAAGCCTTGAGAATAGCAACGGAACAGTTTCTGATACAGCGCCAGAAGGTTGGGAGGCACTCAAAATACGACTGGGGAAGAGCTGCCTCCTCAGAGCAGAGTTGACCGTGATGACACGAACGGAGCAAAGCTTTCAGGGCCTTACTTTTCTGGTGGGGCACAGTGCAAAATGAGAAGAAACTGCTGCAAACATCCATTCATAATCAGAACATGGATGTACAAAGCATGAATCTATGAAAAATGGCATAGAATGTGTAAAGATGGATACCCTAGGCATTGTTGTTGTTGTCAGGTGCCATCGAGTCGGAACCGACTCATAACAACCCCATGCACAGCAGAACGAAACAATGTCCGATCCTGGGCCAACCCCACCACTGCTGCCACACTTGAGTCCATCAATGATGCCACCTGGCCAATCCATCTCGTTAGGGGTCTTCCTCTTTT